TGAAAATCTGGGTAATATTGATTCCATTAGGTTTTGCTGAATTAAAATATTTTTTCATAAATGCATAAATTTTAGTCTCGTTTCGCCCTGAGTTTTAGCGATTAATGAATACAGCATACCGTAATTTGAAGATCTTCTGCATTTCCGAAGCTTCTCCAATCTTCAGGACGTAGCTGAAACCGTGACCAGTAGGGTTCAGTCGCGTCGAGTGTGAGACAGTTACCTACCTGAAAATGATGGATGAGTTTCCATAGTTTCGTGGGTCGATTGAAGTTAGACAGGTGACAGGTCTATGGTTAATTGATTAAGCATTCATATGGGTGACTAAATTTACTGGGTTCAATTCATGAGCTGAGGGCGTTTGTGATTTCCCGTGTGCCCAAACGGTGGAAGGGTGTTAACAGTCAGCAGTCTTGTTCTAGTTATTACAAGGCTTTTCAGTAATTCTATTACAGTTCTAACTCTGGTACTTCAAAGTTAGTAGGGAGAGTCTGACTTCAAACTACTGAATTGTTATCTAGTAGTTTACATCTAATTGCAGTATATTTATTGTCTGCCTTACCGTACGTATTTGATGAACATTTGAACAAATCCTACTTACTGACTTCTCTTCAAGTAAATGTTGTTTTACAAACTGAAAGTAAGAACAACGTAGTGTGAACTGGATTTATGGGCACAGATGATCCACCTAGTGGAGTTGTGAAACCCACATTCCAAACCAATGATTCATATGAGCTCCAGAATCCTGAAGGAACAAGTGTCATGCGAACTTGTTGTTGATCTCTCCTTACGTTGCTGCACTGCCTTGTGGATCAGGCCCATAGGTCAGAGGCTTAGAGAATGATGTCCTAAGAGAGCCATCTATTTTGGTTTCAGCAGTATTCCAGCCAGCGAGGAAGTTGTATTTGGTTGATAGAGACTTTGAATGCCATTACACAAATTCATCCATTCTTTTCTTTATCCGAAAATTCTTCTGCATTCCTCACCACCTTTATCTTTCCTCTCAAATTTATTTCACAGGATTATAATTCTTCAGTGGTATTTTCGGTCCCTAATCTTCTACATTACCTAATTCTGAAGAGTCTATAGATGGTGTTCTGGGCAAAGAAAACACAACAAAATCAATTTCTTCTTTGATTTTATTTTGATGATAATCAGGAAAAATTTTCCTTGTCTAAGATGGTCACTAATCAGCTCAGATTTGATTTTTTCAGAAAATTTCTGTCTACTTATAAATTAATACAGTAGCATGTCGTATTGAACTAAACATTTCGACCCAATAAAAGAAATATTTGAAAATCTGGGTAATATTGATTCGATTAGATTTTGCTGAATTAAAATATTTTTTCATAA